ATACGGTATGATCAGAGTCAAATAATACAGTATTTAGTTCCCGTATAATATGAACGCTACTTTTCATTGTATTGTACACACGTTTGGCGCCTTTTTTTTGTTACAGTATGCTTTGGTAATAAATACGTAACGCCTGATCGCAGGTTAACACGTAACCTGAATGACCTTTTCATACCTATCATGTGACGTGTCTTCTTTGTGTAAAATGACTGCCCAATTACAAACGTTTTTTAACCATCCGAAAGTAACGGCTACCCGAAAGTAGCGGCTCCTTAGGCCTGCTAAATCCGAAAGTAACGGGGGCCGTTACTTGCGGAATTCTACGGTATTATTTTTAAATACATTTTTTTCTCATATTTTTACTGTAATCTTAATCTTATATTGTAAAGCGCTTTAGAATATTTTATAATTTTAGCGCTACATAAATCTAATCTTTATTATTAACTTGTGGAAAGCCCCAGGGGAGTCCCATATAGAAAGAACGGAGAAAAGAAAAGAAAAGAACTTCTAAGAGGTACCAAGATTCTGTTTTGTGTGCGTGGCTTGAAATTTTTTCAACCCTAAGAAATACCGATTCTGAGACAAAATTACAAGCCAATTGATCTCCTGTCATATTTTTTCGGCTCAATACCCTAAAAAGTACCGCAAAAGCTCTCGCTGATAGACCTTTTGAGCCTGCACACCTGAGAAGTACCAAATCCGCCTTTTTAAACCCTGAAAGCTACGGCAAGCACTGCCGTCCTTTTTATGTGGGAGCACTCCCGAGCTTACGACTTAGCCGGATCGAGTGTAGCGGGCTCTATACCAGCAAATATACACCCATAACTGATGTATTTCTAATCAAAGATAGGCTACTATGGGATAAGATAACTACTGATAGTACTCATCCCCTTCGTGAACTGCTTCCACCCCAGAGATCAAAGAGCCTTAAGAAAGGGGGACACCCTTACATCCTGCTACGTGTCAGAACTGAACGTCATAAACGCGGTTTTGTGAACAGATGCCTCCTCAATTTTATTTAATTGTTATTCGTTCATTTGTAAATAGTTTGTAATTAGCTTTTTATAGCAGTTAGTTGTATGAAATTGTAAGTCCAGGCGTATGACTCTGGGCATGTTTCTTTTGGCATTTACTATTTATTAATAAGCAATTCTTAATACACACTGAATAACTTATTAGCGCATCGAGAAACTACCAGTAAAATGCTCAGCGGTTCTTTGGGACGTATTACTGCTTTGAGGGATCTTCCTGTAAATAGTTTAGACCGCGTGGTCCCGTTTTCTCTGTGTTATGGCACTCGGTCGCTGTGTCCCAGATCGCCGAGACCTTCCTCCACTGGTGTTGGTTAACGATTCCCCCTCCCCCTTTTTTTTGTCCCTATGGCTATCTTCGATGTCTACCTCTTATCACGACTATCCGCGAATCGTATTCCCATACCTTAGTTTCCCGATGTGCTTAGTAGTAGACAGCGAGGATATAATACGAACTTTTATTAAAAACTGGATCATTAGATAGTGCAATTCAAGAGTTTTCATTGTAGGCTTAGGCATCATGGTCTATGAGCCATAATACCATGCTCTACAAAATATGGTAAGCGTGCGCGTGTTTTTTTTGGCACTTTTTATTTTTATTTTGTATATTTTGGGGGCGTTTTTAATTAAAGAACTATCCCACCAGCGTTTGTTGGATATTATGTACTTATTGAGGAAAATATTTGGCTCAAGGTCAGGACGAACGGACCGACGTCCTGACCTTGAGCCAAATATTTTCCCGTTCGGCCAGACCTAACTCAGTCAATAAGCTTTTTATTATATGACCTGAAAATTTTAAAAATTCAGTTTGAACCTAAAAAGGACGCGATTACATAACATCAGACGGCCGCGCGCGGAACAACTACAATTACGATTCCGCAATAAAAACTTGTCGTTTATTTCTTTTCGCTCGAGCAAGGAACACACAATTCATCGAAAAACACGACTCACTTTCTGATTTTTGTTTTTCAATGTAAGTCCTCAACTACAATTCATGCAAACCAACAGAAAGTTGACATAAAGCTGTCAAAAATTTGTCAAAAGCATCAAAAACTTAGCGAGTGACAAAAGTTTGCTTCACGTTTCACTGAAATTGTTCACAAATCTTCCTCGTCCGCAGACTCGAGAAAATGTCGGCGTTTCAAGCAATTTTTCGACCTCTTGGATCTTTTGAGCAAGGAAGAACCTGCAACTGAATATTAATGACTCCGATTTTGGCTCCCGCAGACAGTGGCTGGGTTTGCTGTCTTTGCCGGCTTTGCTGTGTAGTGGAATCGAAATTACACTATTAAACACAAGCGAGTTTTATTATCTGGATGAACTGTACGGTGATGAACTTGTGTTCGTACTCAGTTTTGTCTCTTCAAACAACACTGATGTAGAAACTGCAGAGCAATTTATCCTACTGTACACAAGGTGTGTTTGTGATTTCGCTTCTCACAACTCTGGAAACTCGAAGAAA